TCCACCGTGAGCGATGTATCTCGCTCGTCGATATGCATCTTGTTAAACGATAAATTCTCTAACGACACAGTAGTAATACCGAGCGTTCCATCATCCGTCCCTTCCCGGCGCTATATCGCTGTCCCCCCTCGCCACGTTTGAACCTCTACCTGTAGCTTCTTGCCTCTCCCCAGTTATATATGCGATATGGTATCTCGATATCCCTCAACGATGCATTCCGATCCGTCCTTAAACCGGTTAAACCTCTAGAAACTATCCCAGTTTTCAGGTTAAATTCATCGCAAAATTGTGCACGAAGCACACGGATTCACCATTAATACTCACATGCGAGGCCTCAGCGATGCACTTCCTGAATCGGAAATGTCAAATAATTCATTGCACGTTTCGAACGGTCAATGCTCGTTAACAACGTATCTCTGGATGAACAAGAAAAATGAAACAAAAAAGAAGGATGAAAACAAAACGTTCAAGAACTTGTCTCTTCACGGGGAGAAAAGTTGAGGAAAAATGATCCGGAAAATGATGGAACGGTGGATGGATTTTACGGTTCGGTAATTAAAAATCATTCAACTGAAGAAAATTTGGCGTTTTATGTTGAGGAAAAGAGTGACTTTTGGGGGAGCAATGAGCACATCTCTGCATATACAGTAAATTTTCTGCATGACTTAACTGTTATTGTTCCCCAATCCTTGACGAATAATGATTCAATGTGTATTTTTAGTTTTTATTTCTAACTATTTTGGAGCAGCTACAATTTAAACATTTCGGCACTGTTAGAAAAAAAATGAAATTTCATGGACAGTTGACTACTAATTTTTAGGACAGTGACTCTGAATGCGATTTAAGGGAAAAAAATCATAAAATTTCAGGTTTCAATCAAAATTCAGTAAAATTTCAGAATTTTAAGCAGCATAAAGACGAGAATTCATTAATTTATTTGATTTTCTGATCTAATATGAATAATCAGTACCGAATTACATATAATTTTCAGTGAAATTTGAAATTTCATGATTTTTTCCCCCTAAATCGCATTCAGTGTCACTGTCCTGAAAATTTCTAGCTTTCTATTTATTTTCAGGAAAAAATGGAACTGAAATTTACAGATCTCTTTGATTTTTCCACGAATTTCTGAATTTTCAATGATGAAATTCCTTGAAATTTCAGTGGTAATTAAATTCGATAAAAATTTCCAAAAAGTGTACCGGAAATTTCAGACAAAAAGTTTCAACAATGCGGAGCAGTCATGTGGCAGACAGTAGATTTTTCAATTTTTTTGGTTCAATGAAGACTTTTTCAAGAAAATTTTTTTGTCATCTAAAAATTTTCATCATGATTAATTTCCACTGAAATGTCAGGAGCTTTTGTCATTGGAGAATCAAATAATCTATTGTTTTTCTGTTCAAATGATGTTAAAATCAATAAAATACTTAATTTTTCAGTCCAATTATTCCGTGACAATTCGGAAAAATCCGAAAAATTCAGAGGAGAATTGAAAATTCCTGTCATTTTTCCCCTAAATCGGATTCAATGTCACTCTCACGAGAATTACCCCCATATTTTCCCTGAAATTTCGAAAAATTCTCACAGTGTACCGAATTTTGCTCCCCGATAACTTCCTTCTCCGCATGGAAATTGTCCACCGAGTGAGAGAACATCGAGAACACATTTCGGTTAAATTGTTACATGGAAGAGTTCTCCGAGACATCAAAACCCTGACACTTAACAAACGCACTGAGATCTTATCCCCGCGGTATATGGGGTGGCCATTCGGCTAAAGTGTATCAGACTGATATATATCAGAGTCTCGTACATACGACTCGGTTCACGCTCTGTTCGTTTGACTAGTGTACATAACGTTTCACCGTCTGGGGCTACGGCTATATTGTGAATAAAGACGTAGCCATAGTGAGAGAAAATAATCCAGGAAGTCCTTCTCACTTATGAAAAGAGTCCGAGGGGCAGGCAATGCTCTCTTCGCCAATGTGCTTAAGTATATAGCCAACGATCTCTTTACGCGCAGGCAATTTTTACGACGAAGCCACCCGGGCGGGCCGAGACGTCACGCGAGGTGACGAGAAGAAAAAAAAAATATATCCACGTACGTGTGCAAGTGTGTGCACTATCGACACTGCTAATTTTGGACTCCAATCTGACATCGCAGATCGGTGATGTTGGCGAGGTTAGACCACCGGTGGGGAAAAAAAAGAGGCGAGTAAAAAGTCACTGGTGAAGTTAGATGAACCGATTTCCCGGTAAGCCTGGTCAGAGTGGGAGAAAAACAATGGTGAGGAATTAAAATAAAGTCATTTCCTCTATGTATGTCTGTTGATTTCCAACGTCGGGAGATGTGCAGATGACAAGGGATACTGTTTCCTCACGCGATGTGCCCCTGTAATAACAGTCGAGAGGCCTCTCCTATGCCTGTTCCTCAATTTTTTTTTCTCTTTCAAGTTTACCGAGATCCTACATGCAAAGGTTTCAGATAAGAAGCTTTCGCTCATAACCTGTCGTGACAGGATGTCAAATTTTCACTGCAGGCATGGGGGGTTGGAATCGTACGTAAACACTGCAAACTAAAAATCGCGAGAGGTCAAGTGTCCTTCCAAAAAAAGTATTCCTTTAAGGTGTTTCGTGTGTAGATCACCGGGGGGTGAAACGAAAAGGGAGTCTTATTGTTCTCGAGCCCTGATTTAATCGTTGAGCACGAAATTTTCTCAATTTTCAAGTAACTATTTAAGTGTCCATTTGAACATTTTTTGAATATTGATTTTATTTATCAGATTGATTGATTTTTTCTCATCACCTACGGGTGTCAAATAATTTTTATTGGATGTTATTCTAATTATTAAAATAATATTAAAATGCGTCTCGAGTTGGTAAACCTGTCGAGTGTTTTCTCTCTCTCAGTTCCATGGTCCAACCCATACCTTTCCCATGATGCTCACTGACATTCGAATCACGCGCCTGCGCGTGAGGGCGTAATTGCCCCGAAACTCATAATTTTCCGAATCATTTGTTCAATTAACTTTCTTATCAAATCTGAAAAAAATCTGAAACTTATAGGTGTTCTCAAGAAAGATTTGATTTATCACCCACTAGTTTTTCCTCAATAGTTCATTATTTATTTGGCTGCGATGGAAATTTCCCTAATTGAGAGTGGGGTGACCTTTGTGGTTATAGCTGGAGGGGTTACAAAAACATCCAAATTTCATTATTTCTTTTCTTGAAACTGAAATCCGAAGAAAATGTGCAAGGATTCCAATGTTTTTTCATTATTTTGACTTTTCAACCGAAACACCTTAATCCCCGGATAATGGATTACGCATGCGCAGGGGACACGTGATGGGGCGCGTGCGCGCGAAATAGTATATCAAAGATGTCGCTTCACTATCTTCTCAAGTCTTGTGCCATACAACAATTTCCTCTCCCCTCCTCCAGCTCTTTAACAGTCTCATCGCTTCTTGTTTGCCGTACCCAATCTTTATCTTCCACCGTCTCTCTCTGCCTCTCCGTGTCTTCATTACTGCAAGCCTAAGACCTGCTTCTTATCTAGTCTCTCAATCTATCTGGTATACATACGATACGCTAATGTAATTTTAGCTCCATCCAGCCTGGCTGAGAATTTTATTTTCGAACTCTCTCCATCTGGCTGCAAAAATCGTCAACCGCCCGAAACGCAGCTGAGTTTAAACTATTTGAGGAGTTTTTCCGGGGAACACGTTGGTAATATGGGCAATCATTCAATGTCAGGTTTGAGTTAATGCCAGTTCAGCAAACATGAAACGAAAATTTGTCCACGTGGTACCAATCGAATGGAAATAAAAGGGCGACCCCTACGACAAACACGTGCTCAACTGCGCGCCCAAAATGGTTTTAAAGTACTTGAAGTAAATCTGGATGACATTGGCTTTTGCGTGGTGGAAAATTCTATTTGCGCTGTGATATTGGGTCTTAGAATGGTGACCACTATAACGGAATGGTTTTCATAGCTGAGACAATGGCCTCTAATCTGTCCTTGCAATCGCTTTTGGGGTCGAGGATTTGAATTTCCTGGAAGTATCTGCACTTTTACGGATATACAAAGAGTGTTTAGAGTCACTTAAGTCGCATTTTAAGTGGAAACAAATTCTCTTCTACAATCTCCAAAGAATAAAGCGTAGTTTAGTGGTTGGGGAATTGGAATTTTTTCCATGTAAATTACTCCACACAGAGGCGGATACTTCATGCTGGCAAAACGCATACCCCAAGTGAATGAAAAAGGTGGAGAGAAGCGTTTGCGCTCCTTGGGGCCTGCTTGCAGTAGCCCCAAGTCCACGAACTAATGGTCACGACTCGGCCATTTACCTCCGGCGAAGCGACGATTCACGATAAGTAAATCACCGTCGATCTACATTTCATCACGAGACGAGTGATACCCACGTTAGGTGGAGAAGTTACTGGAGTGGCTATCCTTAACTCTCAGCTACTAATGCATCAAAAATATCCACCAACTCATGGGGCTCATGTTGGTGAATCTCCCAGTGGCCGGACTTTCCGCATTGCAAGGATAGCAATAAACTTTCCAATTTAAATTTAAGGGTCTTCAGTGGAGTTTGTACAACACTCGTTGAGATTTAAACTCGCAACATTGCTCTGGCTTGTGGAGAAGGTCGTTCAAGGTTTTAGACCACGACTGGCGGTTAAATCGCTCTCGTGCCTCGCTTTCGTGAATCACGAGGACAAGACTCAAAGGAGTGTGGGTTATACGCTTCAATGCCGAATCGCTCTTTCATCCGCAAAGTGTAACCTCAGTGGTTACAATTCTCTTCCCCCTTTTTACTCTGCTATTCACGAGTGCAAAAGTACCAAAGCCCAACGAATTGCCGACAGCCGTTGTAAATGGGTCAGCATCGTCAGTATTTGCTCTTCAAGTGGTGAAGTAAGAAATTGGGAAAAGTGGTTTTAACAAGAAAACAGGAGGGTAAAAAAGAGAGGACATTGAGGATGGAGAGCCCACTTACTTGTAGTAATCCTTTTTGCAGTAGATGTTGCCGTCCCTGCTGAAGCAGGTGACCTCGCCGTCGAGGCCCTGACGACAGTGGGAGCACTGCAGGCAAGCGGCATGCCACCTTCTGTCTACCGCCTGTAGATAAAACCTGTCGGATATTCTGAGACCACATCCAGCGCACACGACCCCTGGGACGTCCTCAGCCTGTGACGGTGGTGTTGGTGGTGGTTCCAATTTTGGTATAGCATGTATATCATCGTTATTACGATGATCCTGCTGATTTGTTTGGTGCTGCACTTGCACCTGCGACTGGTGATTGTGCAACTGCTGATTGTGATGACACTGTTGATTCGTCTGCGGTGGCATTGTCAGATCACTAGGATTCTCGTAGCTATTCCGGTAATCGCCACCTGTTTTACGACACCAATCTGAATATCCGTTATGCAGAATGTATTTTGTTTCGTATTTTGATTGTTGAACACTTGATTAATTTGGGATGTTGACTTACCCGGCGATCCGTAGTCCCGCGAGTCGTAGGGGGTTGTCGAGCCGTCGTAACAATTATTATTAGTACCACAGTGTGTTTGATGCAGCGGTGTACGGTGAACACCGTGGTGGTGGGCAGCAGGTGGGCTACAGGGTAGAGTTGTGGGTCTTGCGGCATCACCCATCGACGCCGGGAGACATGGACTAAGGTCTCTCGTTTGATCAACTCCAGGACCCCCTGCGCTCCCTGGCCCACCACCTTGACAGCCCAAAGCCAAGCCGCTTCCACGCTCCTGCGAGCCGGGCGGCTGCTGGAACAAATATATTGAATGAAGCTTTTTTTAGAAATTTGAGTGGCTGATTTTTTCGGACTTTGTTGATCAATTTTTCGGACAATTCGAATTAGTAAAAATAAATAAATGATGGTTCACGTCCATATGTGGGCATCCACATGAAAAGGGCCCACTTTGACGGTATTGGAGTTATGTAGGTTCCGATAATCTTGATCAGATTTCTCACATTTTGAGCCCAAAATCAACCCGATAGAATGAAAACTGACGTCAGTATAGACGATCAAAAAAACAATTTAACATTGGTTTAAATGGGAGATGTGGAGAGAAAAACGTGAATATCTCGGAAACTAGATGCGACAGAGTGGGCCCTTTTCACGTGGACGTACACATATAATAATTAATTATGAGGTGGAATCATGGGATTTTCGACACAGTGAAAGCCACACGGTCTCATGGTCAAATACCGCGACGTTTCGATTAAAATTTAATCTTCATCAGGCTCGAGAAATTAATTACAAGAATTCATCAATTCAAAAATATCAACATAAAAATTGAAAATTTAAATGCATCTGTTACCTAAATTTCAAAAAATTTCTAACAGTGTAATTTTTGCATCCATAAATGTATTTTTTACATCAGTAAGATATCCGCTGAAAATCAGTATTGTCTCACTGAATTACATTTCGCTTCCCGATTACCATTCGTATAGTAAAATTTGTCACGATTTTCGAGGTAATTTTTATCCAACTTTTCTCTCCGTGTAAAACTTTACTTTTTTTGAGAAACGCTTGGATCTTGTATTGACGATTTATCCTGTTCCGACATTAATCAACTCATGTACAGTCGCGGGTTTAAGTTCGTGAACAGCCTGCACTTGCATCCTATGTGTTTTGTTCATGAACTTTAGTACCCGACTGTATAATTCAAGTATCTTTTAAAATACCTCTGAAATCTATAATTCTGTCTCAATGTAATTTACAACTCCTCTCTCATTGAAACCTATCACAGGACATCGTGACTCAATTACAGTTTAATTAATGTGTAATTAATCCTATAAATTATATCCTTTCAGATTTTCAGAGCTTAAGAACACGAAAGCTCGTAATTAAAAAACTCGACAGTTCCAATTCAAAGACTCCCAGTTCTTGTTTCACTTGAAATGATTATACTACAAGTATACTAACATAAACATAAATAAGGATACCACGAGTTAGAATATATTAAAGTTCAAAGCCTGAACTTTGTCATAAATGAAGTCTACGAAGAACTTAGAAGAATTCGACGAACAGTACGTCCAATTCGGTCGGTATTTGGCTATTAATATTCTCCGTGTGGAGACCAAAGTGGTCGTAAAAAGGCGTTAGGTCCAAAACCCACCAAGATGGTCGATTTTTGGCCGCCGTATGCAATATTTAGATCTTTAACCGACCATCGCTATACAGGATGTCCCAAAACGAATCTAGCATATCGTACGGGTAGCTCGGGGAGGGATTTGTGAACGAGAACTGTTTATGAGTTATCAAGAAAAAGAGGACAGTCAATCAACGCTACCCGAGTGGAAATTCCGTTCAGGTCTTGATCAGAAACTGATCAAGTCCGATCCGAAATTCTGATCAGGCGTGTTACGCCTCTGCCTTAGGTTTTTCCACTAGGGTTTCTCCGCCTTCCATCATTAGGCATTAATTAAATTTAATTTTTTGAGAGAAAAAATTAGTAACTTCCTAGCCGGGAATCGAACCCGGGACCTCCCAATGTCGCGTCGGGTGCTCTTATCATCTGAGCTACCAGGACACTTACGAATTTCACTCTCAAATTGACTCACACCCGAGTGGGAATTCCGTTCAGGTCTTGATCAGAAACTGATCAAGTCCGATCCGAAATTCTGATCAGGCGTGTTACGCCTCTGCCTTAGGTTTTTCCACTAGGGTATTGGCGGGGTATTCTCTATCGGGGAATACCCCGATAGAGAGATCATACCACCTTCCATTTAAGATCGAGAGATGATGGCATTGAATATTCAATCGATTCTAATCAATTTAAGGAGAAACGGAACCCTCGCGTCTATATGAATCTTTAGAATTGTGTTTTCTCCTGCAATTATTATTCTTTATTCATTAAACTACTTCATTGACTCAACAATGTGCTAATCGACTCGATAAAGTAATTTCATAGATAGAAATTAATGATTGTAGGAAAAAACACAATTCTTAGATTTGATGTAGACAAAGGGGTTCCGTCTCCCCTCAACAAACGAATGACATTATTCCTGAAGAGACAACGGAAGTTTCAAGGCAGCAAAAATGATTATTACATTTCCTCGAACTCATTGCGATTGAGAGCAAGTGACAGTTATATTTAACAAATATCTAGAACTTCTCTGTGAAAATTCTGCATTCATGCAGCTGACACATCTCACGCAAGACGAGATCGGTTTTGCGATAAAATGTCGATATTCCCTCACTGCGAGGAACACCTCAGCAAACATCGCTCGAGTCAATCCTATTCCAATCCAAGCCTCAGCCTTCCTAAAGCCAAAACCTCCACCGTATTTTTCCCCCACGTCAATACATACACTCCATCCAGACTCGGCCTCCGACTATTTTCCATGCCCTTGCAAATCCGCGTAAATATACATGCGAATAAGAAATGGAGGATTTACAAAGAAGGATAGGGAAACGAGGGGAACGAGGAATGGGGTATAGAGTCAAAAGGAGGAGGTTGTAAGAATGGCCGAGGCGAGGAGAAGTGACGGTAGGTTACGCCGTGTGACAGCCGCACGCCAGTAGACGCTGATGGATGTCGCAAGCCCGAGCGCATGCGCGATCACCCTATAAGGTGCCTCAACCGCCGGCCAATCCGAGAGTCACCACCGTGTGTTTCAACTGTCAGCGCGCACGGCGCGCGGCTTCTCTCGGTGTGCCGCGACATAAATTATCGTTTCACTCTTTTACCCTCTTCCCGCCCCCCCCCCTTTG